TACTTCTGAGCAACAACATTTCCCAAGGCCAACGTCTTGTGCAAAAGCCATCTGGCTGTAGAATAATCCCAAAGGCATTCTGACTTTTGACTAATAAATCAATAAAGGTCATCTAGGTTTATCAGACAAACATTTCGGCCCGTATTGACAAATAAGGCTAAGAAATGCCACATTAGTGTGACCGCACTGTTTGGATGAACAATAGGCCATGATGCATATTCTATTTCGGGTACAGAGTGATGTAAGTTGTGTCTAAGTGTGTGTGTGGGTATGCATTCTGCTCAAGGAAACACCAGGAAAGAGCCTTGACTTCTTCCTGCGATTGCTCGGTGCACAAAAACACATAGTCAAAAATAAAACACACAAATTAAGCTTACATGGTTAGCACAATGAGGCAGGAACAATCACATACATTCTTCCCAGGATTCAACAGCAAACCGGATCATGTAAACATACAAATGCACAAAATTAGAAACCAACTTACAATGCATTTGATGCAAGGAATGTCTAACTTACACACACTTTCATGGTGATGCAAACAAGACGTCCACCCAGTAAGCCAAACAGACAAGCATGCATTTTACTCACAAATCAATGCTAACACCAATGTTTAGTATAACTGGGATACTTTTATAGTTTTTATTAGGCTAATAGATTGAATTGTTTTTGTAAATGCCTATATAGTTTTTTTTGTCTGGTTTTTTTTACATTCATTTATTTGATTTATTTTTATTTATTTTTACAGCGACTTTCACTTCAGACAATCAGTAACATTTAAAATGCATAGGCTACATATACTGCATAAAACTATTTTAATTTAAAAAATGATATGCAATATGAAAAATGTTCAGTAAATTCACACAGATTATGAATATATTTGCATATTCGCTTAAATTGGATGTTTCATAAAATGACAACAGAACAAAAAATATTTCAGCTGTGGATCATTTTTTATTCAATTACCTATTTTTACCTTCTTAAGCTTCTTACCTATAACCTATAAAACAAAACAACCCATTTTTTGTTTTTAATAAAAGCATTGCTCACCAAGTCTGCATTTATTTGATTAAAAATACAGTAAAACAGTAATGTTGTGAAATATTATTACAATTTAAAAGAACTGTTTTACATATTTACATATTTAAAAAATATTTAAATTACATCAATTTAAATAACATTTTTAATTACATATTTTAAAATGTAATTTATTCCTGTGATGCAAAGCTGAATTTTCAGCATCATTACTCCAGTCCTCAGTGTCACATGATCCTTCAGAAATCATTCTGATATGATGTACTGCTCAAGAAACATTTCTCATTATTATCAGTGTTCAAAAGAATAACCTCTCCAATGAAAATCTTTTGTAACAATGTCTTTAATATAACTTTTGATCAATTTAAAGGGGTGGTTCATTGCGATTTCACTTTTTTAACGTTAGTTAGTGTCCTAATTCAGCTCAGCTTCTGCAATGAACTGTTCCAATAATACACTAATTTTCACAAAAGCTATGAGAAGCATTAAACATGCACGCGCGTGCAGTTGCCATACTGTTTAAACCTTTAATCAGGATAAAACCGTATATTAAAAGCTAACATAAGCAGTAGCATTTACAAATAACAGCATATCTAAAAGTATGAGACAACAACAAACAAAAAACATAGGCCTACCATTAAAAAGTTAATTCTGCACGAACCTCTTCAATAATATCCTCTGCTTCTCAATCGGGCTCAAACTGATAAGCGATATTAACGACGCCATTGTTTACAATACATTATGTGAAAAATAATGTTTTTTTTACAAACGAAGCATTAAAACATGTTAGACTGCACCCCATAAACACAATCAAGCCTAGAAAAAGACCAGTGAACCACCCCTTTAATGCATCCTGTCTGAATAAAAGTATTAGGCCTAATTTCTTAAAAAAATAAAAATAAAAATAAAATTAAATCATAATATCTTACAGAGATGAAACCTTTGAATGGTAGTATATACTGTATCAGTACTAAAAGCCAATAAGCACTATAAATGTGTGGCAGAGCAGCACCTGATTAGATGCCACACATGGATTCTGCAAGCTAATAAGGCCAAGTCAGGTCATGAAACTCTGGCAGGCTTAGTTGGTTTCACCTTACAAGACTTTGACAAAACACTTGACAAAGAACTGATAGGCAGAGTGATGGAATTAAAATGATGGGAAGTTGTAATGCCTTCATCGCATGATTAGTCTGATCCATCAGTCAGAATTTCCTACAGTATTTCAAGGCCTTTCAGCAACTCTTAACACCTGTTCCCGACTGTAAATGTTTCATCAGTGCATGCTATTCCAAATAAAAAAAGTAATCTTTCATCGAAACATCCTATAAAACAACCTTCCTTTTCCGCTCACTAAGGCCTGAAGGATCTTAATTTTATTATTATCATGCTGTTTCAGTTGAAAATTCACCATATTACAGAAGTAAAATTGCTTGCGAATGACTTAACAGTATGTTGACTTCATCTAAAGTGTATCATCAACTGTAACTTTAAAATAACATTACATAAATTCCTCATCAATAGATGCCAGTCTCTCAGTGGAGGGATACGAAGTAAATATGCAAAATGCAAAAATAACCATATCCTTGCTAACCTAGTCAGAATGTAAACACATTATGAGTTCACTTGATCATTACCATCTCGACCACAGAGCTAATTGCAACTACTCATGCAATACAAAAAGTAAACACACCCAAACAAATGTACTGTTATTTGTCACTCCAAAAAAGTACAATGAACTGAGCCGAATTGATTCCTTTAGAACATTATTGAAAGCTTCTATTGTCCGTTCATCACTATAGCCCTCTCAAACCATATATTACTGTCCAGTGATGTCAGACTCTATCAGTCTCCACCTTTAGCTTCTGCTATTCATCCAAGACTGTCTGATCCGATGTCCAATAACATCCCTACCCCACAGAGATGAATCAATACTTCGATGATTTGATCAAACATTACAAGGCCCAGACAGACTTTTTTGCATTCTAGAGCTAAACTGAACAATTAAATCTGAAGAGTTTAGCTATTTTATGAGTCCAAAAGAACACTATGGGAATTTCATGCAAAGCAGACTGTACTTCACAACGCTTGGGCGGCTCTCGGAAATGAATCTGCATGGATATGCAACCAATTGAGCCTGTTGAGAGAGGCGAATATTGGATTGAACGAGAACCAGGCCATCCTGAAATTGAGTCTAGCGAGGCATTAATGACTGAGCCACCAGCTTTAACTGTGTCATTTAATCCACAGATCACATAGATGGTCTAAATAGTCCTGAAGTGGGATGTTGGAGCTGCTCTTCAAAGCAAAGCTTCGTATGACCTCATTACTCAAACTTTCTGCTAGGCGTGTCTGAATGACTTTTTTTAGACATTTTAACTGCAATACAACTAAAAACGCATGTTATCTGATTCGACAACCAAAACTCACAATGTAAAACCAAAGGAATGCCAAACAACTATAGGAGAATCCAGACCATGTGGCATTTAAGGTGCAATTTCCCTCACACGCAGATCTGCAGTACACTTAACCAAAACTGGTTTTTACAGCCAGATGTCTTTAGAAATCTAATTTTGGTGCTTTATAGAGCTCAGAAACCCCACAACTGATCTGAAAACCTATAAATAACCACCAAAAACTATAAAGAACCATATAGACACGACTCAAGCACCCTACACAGCAAATATTGTTTTAGAAGAGGTTTCTTCATGGAACCTAAGAACCGCTGAAGTACATATATTTGTGCCTATTGTATAAAATACCAATGTAGATTTGATGTAGGCTATAAAAGCAAATTCTGAATCAACACTCTAAATAAATGATGCTGGTTATTACACATTTGTATATTGTGTTTATTTTCAACCACTACAATGCTCATAGCAATCAGTTTTGGCAAAAATCCCAAATGAAATCTACATAAACATTGTCAAATGAATCTGATGCTTATGTGAGGCAGCGATTTACTCTACATATGTACGAAAATAACCAGCTCTCAACCTAACAAAATATATTTTGTCACTTTTAATTGGTTCAAGCATATGCACACATGAAACCCTGAAACATTTGAGGGCCAATTTCTCCAACATTGAACTCTAGGCACATTAAAGCATTTAAGCAACAGCAAACGCAACATATTTAAATAGATTATATAATATGCATGCTTTTGTTTCCATATTCTAAGGAACAGGTGCTCATTATAATGCATTTACCATTTCATCAAAACAATGGGTGTGCTACACTGGCAATCAATATTTTAGTACACAAGTGCTTGAAAAACAACCAGGTAGTAGGCTATACTTATTGTTACTTATAGTTCAAGCATAAACACAATAAGTCTTGGCAGTCTTTTTGTGGCAAATGCATAATAAACAGTATATTTTGATGCACCAGGAAACATTTCAATTTACTCCACATTTCAGACTTTGAATGTGGCTTTAACTGAATGTCAGGGAATTTGACCCTCAAATGCTACAGGTTCTGTGCGTCTTAGTTGGGTTAAAGGATAAACACAACAGAAATCCAGAACCTGTGGCATCTGAGGGACCGATTATTTATTTTTAATTTTTTTATTATTATTCAGATTATTATTCTAGACCTTTAAAGTAGTACATATTGTACAAAATGTTTAATAAATTTAATATTCAAATCCTGCGTCTTAGTTGGGTTAAAGGATAGACACAACAGAAATCCAGAACCTGTGGCATCTGAGGGACCGATTATTTATTTTTTAATTATTATTTAGATTATTATTCTAGACCTTTAAAGTAGTACATATTGTACAAAATGTTTAATAAATTTAATATTCAAATCACGTAATTTGGCTTTTTTTTTTTTTCATAAGAATAAATACCTAACAATAATGTGCGGTTTGTAATGCCAATATTTTTTATTACTACAACATTAATGCATTTATTAATTTGCCAACTAATCCAAATTAAATCGACATACAGGTAAACACGGTCACTTACCGTCAAACAAAGGTTATGATGAATTGAGAGCTCAAATAAACACACGGGGATGCTCGGAACAAGCTGATGTGCGCAGCTGAGGGCCTCTGTGAGGGTCCAGCGCACTTCTTCCTCCTCCTCTTCCTCCTAAACCATCCGTCTCAGCCCGACCGAACCTCTCAGAACCCAGCCCAGATGATGTTTACTGCGCAGTGTCGGTCTGCGTCCAGCCTGGATCCAGCCGCGTTCATCTCTTATTCATTTACAAAGAGCCCCGTATCCGCTCAATGCCACCTCATACCCACTGAAAACACTCGCACCGCAACAAAAACACACGCGTGGCCGGGTGTACAGCTTCATCTGAATGCTCAAGAGATACTGAATGTTGCTTTGCATTTGTGTTGGATTAATTCCAGGGGCTTTGCGTCTGCTTTTGTTTTGAGCATCCGCGCAGCGCACGAGAGGGAGGCGTTCACTCACACTGTTGTGATGTTCGATTCGCCAACGAGTCAACCTGCTGAACCGGTTCTTTTGAATGATTCGTTCTAAACGATTTGAAAGGCGGCTGTTCACACAGAACTGGTTCAGTCTTTAGTAGTCTCGCCTAGCCAGACCTTCAGACTGACGGCTGAAGGTCTGGAATCCATGGCAGCTTTCATTGGCCAAAGCCCGCCCATGAGGCCGTTTGACTGACATGTCAAACAACCAATCACAGTTCGTTTCGTTTCAGAGTCACGTTTCGGGGCGTGGAAATGTCGCCACAATAACAGACCGGTGTGTAAAACTCTCGGACCTATTTTAAAAATTCTGTGCCGTGAACTTTAAATATTTCACATACTTTTGAAAATCCAGCGTTTAGTTGGTCCTGATAAGCGCTTGTCGACACAGTTGTAAACACGACGGCTTTCTTCTTTCATGAGGGGGTTTGCCGTCACGACATCTTTGTTTCCAGGCGGAACGTTATAGAACGCAACACACACGTCTCCCGGAAATCCTGTATAATTCAACCAATCCGATGACGACTTCGAAACTCCTTAAGTGTTTCCACTTTTGTGTGCCATATGCATCAGACATTTAGCCAACGTTCCATGGGCGTGACGTCTGAGGCTGAGATTAACCCTGCATTGCATTCGGAAGGGCTCATCCCTATGCCCTAATACCTTCAAAGGGCTTACCCTCCGGAGTGAGAGCTTCGAAGGGTTGAAGGGTATAGGGGACCAAACAACTGTTTCTTGAAGTGCCCTTCTGCGTCGTCATCACGTGCCCACACGGAGGCGCCGTCATCATGCAAAGAATCTGCGCAAAGGATCATGGGAGCCCGAAGTGTCCATCAGTTGTACCCTTCGAAATCCTTCATTCCGAAGGGCCCTTTGAAGTGGCCAGTTTGAGCACTTCGGTTTGGAACGACTCTTCAATATGGCGGCCATGATTGTTTTCACTCCGAAGTGCCCTTCGGAGGGCGATATATCCCGTTTGGAACGCACAGCAAGTCTTTAGCCGTTACGAATCTTTTCGTATAAGACTGAGAGTTAAGCTAAAGTTAAGTAAAATAGTCGTTAAAGACTAGTTACATAACATTAAATGTATTTTAAAAGTTGAGTAGTTCAATTTACCTGTATACACCAGCTTAAAAATACAACACGGTGAAATGCTAAAAACAGCAGTGGCCAAAGACCTAAAAGAAAATTGTGCAGATAGAATGCAAGAAAACATTCCGAGTAAATAGCGCCACCTTTAAGTTGTACACAACAGTATATTACACTATAAATGTATTTTAATAGAAAAATTTAAAAAATAAATTGCCATTCGGTCTTAATAAGCGCTAAAGACACTTCTGTCTGTAATATAAAACCTGTTCTGTGTGAATACTTGTGGAAACAACTTGTTGAAACACTTTTGTAAAAACTCAAAGGATTCATTGAACCGTTTGCTTGGACACGGTTCATGGTAATGAATCACCCAAATGAACCGATTCAATAAGGTGAACTGATTCATTTCTCACAGTGTGGGGTGAACAAGGGTGGAGACCAAGGAGGGAAAAAAAGCTATCTATTATTAAGCTTAATTTGCTTAATAATAGAACAGGTCACCTAAAAATTAAAATCTGCTGAAAATTTACTGACCAAAACAAGCAGATTTTCACTTCACAAGACATGATAGACGTAATTAATGGACTGGAGTGGTGTGGATTACTTGTGGATTATTGTGATGTTTTTATCAGCTGTTTTGGACTCTCATTCTGACGGCAGCCATTCACTGCAGAGGATCCATTGGTGAACAGTTGATGATGTCTAAATTTCTCCAAATCTGTTCCCATTAAGAAACAAACTCGTCTACATCTTGGATGGCCTGAGGGCGAATACATTTTCAGCAAATTTTCATTTGGGTAAACTATTGCAAGCACTGTATTAAAATAATTACCCTTACCCTTAAAAATGTGCTTTGGGTCTCCATGAATATTTGACTAAGCTGACAATTGTATTGTACTTTAAATTCTTTGTTTTTTTTTTTTTACTTCTGAATTTAAAACTCATTCTTCACCTGAACTAACACATAAAATCAAACTCAATGCAAAGATATAATAAATTAATTTATTTGAAAAAAAAAAGTACATTTATAAAAGCAACTATAAACCTGAGTCTGATCACGCATTGAGTCAGACAGTACAGTAAGTATAGATGACATGGCGGGCCATTTCCTTATTACCACTGGACTGGTATATAAGGGATAGATTGTAGGCAATCTCTCTTCTCAAGTCCACTTGGTCATCATCAATCCCCTTCAAATGACAAGAGAAATCATTTACATTTCACGAAGCATTAAAAACAGCCTATTAATACGTGTATATATATATATATATATATAGCACAGAGCTTCTGAATGTGTCTCTCATGTTGTGAGAATTTGGGAGATCTCTGGGATGATTTATGGATGCATGTTGGATCATACAGATATTAAACTGAAAGCATCTTACCTCCAGTTTGAGTGGGGGGAGGGTGAGGGCTTTCTCATAGTAGTGAATGGCTAAATGACTGAGTCCAAGCTGGTGTAAAGCCCGACCGATATTATACAGAGACTCTTGACAATGACCTCTGAGATCCACATAGCGCCACAGGAATGAGAAACCCTGACAAACAACCAAAATATGTGGTATATGCGCATACACACAAATTAATTTATCTATCTAAACAGGGACATCTGGTTGACATCTTGCCATTTTAAAATTACTGTTTTTATTAATTACTTAATAACTAAAATAACTAAAATGAAGAATACTTTAGGACCATTAAGAGTTTTTGCAACTTGTCATTATATTTAAATATATTTATTTATAAAACGCTTGTCTTGTTTACTGTGTGGAGACGTGCTGATATCGCGTTTGGTCTCGTTCTGTATCGCGCATCTTGTCAGTGTCTGCGCTTGCTTGGCCATTTGTTGTGGAGAAACATTTGTCATTTTTATTTTATATCTTTATTTTTAAAATGTGTATAGGTAGTATTTATAAAGTTTTAGCTTTTAGTTTTGGATCTGTTTTTAGTTGTTTTAATACTACAATTGATTGCTTCTGTTGTCCTTATTTGTAAGTCGCTTTGGATAAAAGCATCTGATAAATGACTAAATAAATAAAATAAATAAATAAATATTTATGACAATTAAGCACATTTGCCCCATAAATTCTCATTACTGCCACATGGGCACATGAAAAAAAAATAAATACAAAAAAAATAAAAATAAAATAAATTTGTAATACAACCCCTTTGAATTAAGCAGTAAATTAATGTGTAAAATGTATAAGTATTACAACAACAAAAAACTTATAATATAATATAATATAATAGTAACTTTCTTATACCAAAACCTTTTTTTCTTTATAATTTCTCTCTTTATATTTTTTTAATAGCATGATATAATAAAGCTAACTTAAAGGGACATTTCAACAACTTTGCTTCCAAAAGTAACTTGTTTAGAAAAACACATCATACTGTACCTGCACAATGAGTGGATGCCTTTTCATGACAAACCTCTGACAGGCCATATGGAAGAATGTGAGACCAACAACCAAACTATGAAGAGGATGATCGGGCTATAAGTATTACAACAACAAAAAACGTATAATATAATATAATATAATAGTAACTTTCTTATACCAAAACCTTTTTTTCTTTATAATTTCTCTCTTTATATTTTTTTAATAGCATGATATAATAAAGCTAACTTAAAGGGACATTTCAACAACTTTGCTTCCAAAAGTAACTTGTTTAGAAAAACACATCATACTGTACCTGCACAATGAGTGGATGCCTTTTCATGACAAACCTCTGACAGGCCATGTGAAAGAATGTGAGACCAACAACCAAACTATGAAGAGGATGATCGGGCTGGTTTCTGAACGCCTGCATGTACTGACCTAATCAGTGACGAGAAAGTATATTAATAATAGTTACAATAATAAACCATTTTTAATAGTGCAGTTTTCACCACTTATGCCATATATGACAATGCTCAAACGCAAATCAATTATACAACTACCTATGACACATTCATCATGTGCAAAACCTAGTAATAAACACCAGAATTGTGGGATAGCAAATGTCTAAACCATACCAAGTGCATGTTTGAAAGTCCCAGAAACCAGCGAGGTGTGTCCATTGAGAAGGTAGAGCGCATGGTTATCGGGATGTTTGAGCATTTGACGCAGACAGAAACGATGATGTCTGGCATCCTGAGAGTGCAGGGTAACCTGATTAAACACGTTCCACAGCTGAGTCCGTTCCACATTGTCCATTAACATCAACCTGCAACAGATAGAGTATATATATATATAAAGTACTTAAAGATCAGTTCTCTATTGAGAAAGAAGACCAAGTGGTCACTTAAAGCCACTTCTCAAATCAAATAAATTCCACTTTGCAATCAAATAAAGAAACTTTTAGCCTCAAATTAGATTTTCAACCCACTATTCCTCGGAGAATCATTTCTCAGATATTAGACTTGAGGTTATCTTGAGATTTAAACATATGTTGCCCCTTGTGTGATTGTTTATGCCGTATTCGGCTAATTTGATCACGGTTTTATGCATAAAACTATAATAATCCTGCTTTTCCTCCAAAACTATTTCTTTTGGTGGTAAATGTGGGATTGTTTGTTTTAAACATATTCTGTATTGTGTTTTTAAAAACTGATTACATTTATACACATGAAATAAGAAGAATGAATGAGAAGAAAAAAAAAACTCAAAATCACAAATACACATTTATTTATGTTCCTGTGGCTCAGTGGTAGAGCATTACGTTATCAGCGCAAAAGGTCGTGGGTTCGATTCCCAGGGAACACACATACTGGTAAAAAAATGTATAGCCTGAATGCACTGCAAGTCGCTTTGGATAAAAGCGTCTGCTAAATGCATTTATTATACATTTAATCAGTTAAATAAATCAAATATGTAAATAAATAATTATTTAAATAAAAAATTAAATAAGT